TTAGAGCTGGGATGGGCTCATCACACAGGTGAGGGAAAGAAAGTTGAGGGAGATGAAGTTACTTTCACAAGGTTGCACAACTAGGTGAGAAAGTCCCTCTTGGGTAACAACTTGCCGTCCTCCCAGTTCAGCGCAGTCTCTTCACTGCCACACAGAGTTAGGATAAAGGTGATCTGTATGAGTGTTTTGGAAACTTGAAATCACAAGATAAAGGAAAATTTGTCATGCTGTCATCTTTTCATTGGCACATTTTGCTCCTGTTCTGCTAGAAGGTGAGTATCTCCCATGAATGTGAGCTCTTGGCAAGTGTCAGCTGCATCACTGGCACTAGCTGGTTGTGCTGCTGTCTGAGGTTACAGAGCCAGGGATAGAAGAAAGCTCTTGGCCACCTTCAGGCTCCAGGGCACCAGCACTGTCACCTGGGAGATAACAGCCCCATTCTCCCCTTTGCATTTCCACACTTCAATAGCAGTAAGCAGTAAGTTTCCTTAGGAGAGCGAATCTGTTTTGTCAGTAATAATTCAGTCTTTAACACATGAAACACACTAGCCCAACAATCCACTCAGCACTTGAAAGAGACTTATTTAGCTTTTGCTTTGACATACCCATTCCAAGCTTTAGTTTGCTCTGTTTCCAGACCTTTTGTCCTCCAACCATTTTAACTAATGTGCAAACATATTCTCAAACGGCCTCCGAAACAGATTATTACCAACAGACTGCAGAATGACGCAAATGTAGCCCATCTACAAAAGTGAAACAAGTTTAGCCAAAGGGATCACTTGTGTGGCTTAAATCATGGACATGGGCTATATCCACAGGGCTGAATTTATAATTGCAGGCTTTAACAATTTACCCCAGTTCTTTTTTGACCCAGGCTTTGGGTGGCTCCAATCTTTTCACTTCAATATGTCCCCACCCCCACTGCACACATACACACAGATGGCAAAGCCAACACAGCTCACGTCCTTCTTTGGTGGTCTCCACTGGCACACAAGTCCATTGGTATAATTTTGAGAACACCGAAGATGACTCAGCTAGCTCCACATGTACTTTTTATGAGAAATGAGTCAATAAGTTGTTTCTCTGCACACTCCCCCAGAGAAAGAACCTAGAGCACAGGGAGCTGTAATATTAGATTAGTAACTCCACAACAGATCACAGGTGAGAAGACAGCATGTGGTAAATAGGAAGTCGCTAAGCCATTAATCAGAATCCTCCAACCCAGGGGGTTTTCCCTCAGCCTAATCCAGGTTCAGAAAATGGGGTGCCCTTCATGGGCTCTCCAACATCCTCTAACCAACATCAGCCATTCATTCCCACTAATTTAATGGTGTCGTTTCACTAAAGGACTATGCCTGGGAAACTGTGCTGGGTCTGTCCCTTGGCAAGCATCTTCAACTGCTCACGTCATCCCCAACACAGATGCCTTGGGGAGAATGTAGCTGCCCACCTCCATCTACCCCAACCAGACCCTGTGTCCAACTTCTCCACCACACTCAGACAAGCCAAGGAGTGAGCCACACACGTCAGAAGCTTCCTGGTCAGTTTTGACTCAACTGTCCATTAAAGTGTTTTGTTCCTATTTTATAAATATCTGATGCTATTAGGAATAGAGAAGTCAGAAGGGAACTCATTATTACTGTGATTATATGGTATGTTATTCGATCTTGAGAGAGTCATTTCTCCTCTGAGTCTTTTTTCTTACTTGTGAATTAAGAAGGTTGAACTATAAGACCCCCATGGTCCTGTCAGGCTGTGACCTCAAGTGGGTCTACTTATTACCTGCTAAATGGTCCCAGCCCCCACCCTGTTTTCCTCCCACCCCAATTATAAGAAAGAGGTCAGGGTGCTAGGCCTCTTGTTCTTACAGTAAGCTTCTGGAGGTGAGACTAATGCAGATGAGATTTAGCATTCACCAGACTTCAGCTCTTGGAGCTGGCAGGAAACTCAAATAATCCACCACCCAAAAGCTATGCAGTAAGGCAGGTATAGCAGTATTATCCCCAAGACGTACATAGGAAAACCATGATCCAGAAAGGCTAAATGATATGCACAAGGATCCCAGCTGTTTTAACAGGTGATACCAAGAGAACTAAAAGCCAAATCTTCCCATTCCTCACGCTGCTCTCCCTCCACACCACCAGAGTTGTTATGAAAGGGCATTATTTGAGGTGTTAGCCAAAGCTTTAAAAGAAATTACCAAATATAAAATGATATCTTACAGAAGGAAACAATAGCTATAGCCCTTAATATTTATACTATTATTTATGACCCAGAGGTGATAGTAAGAGGTTTGATACTAAGCCCTTTACCAATGAGAAAGCTACAGATAACTGACATTTTTCCTATTAACCAATCTATTTCATGAATCTATAAATCAGAAACCACTACTGGGCTATTTATAAATAACGGCAAAGGAGTTCCAACCCAACATATTCAGTTGGTTTGGAACTCCTTCCCAGGGGAGAAGAACTCTGCTCTGTTAACCTACCAGGTGACTGACACATTTTACATATGTGTTTATAGTTCTGCCAATTTTTAATAAGAATCTGTGGAAGCTGGAAAACTGTTCTATTTATCTGCAAAATTTCAGTGCCATTACTCTAAATAGAAAATGGTTTATTTTAAAAACCAGTGTGTTTTTAAAGCTAAATTTCACTTTCCCCATATGTGTTTAGGAAGCTCTTTTAGATTCACATAATTTATTTGAATTATCTAAGCCAAAATGATCATATTTTCCTAAGACAAAATTTTCTAAAAATGTGCTCACAGAGAAAAATATTCCCAACATGTACTAAAATTCTCATTTGTGGGCCAGGAGTGGTGGCTCATACCTATAATCTTAGCACTTTGGGAGGCCGAGGCAGGTGGATCACTTGAGGTCAGGAGTTCAAGACCAGCCTGGCCAACATGGTGAAATCCCATCTCTACTAAAAATACAAGAAATAGCTGGGCAGTAGCATATGCCTATAATCCCAGCTACTCGGGAGGCTGAGGCAGGAGAATTGCTTGAACCCAAGAGACGGAGGTTGTGGTGAGCTGAGATTGTGCCACTACATTCCGGCCTGGGTGACAGAGCAAGACTTTGTCTCAAAAAAAAAAAAAAATTCTCATTTAAGAACCCCAACATTCAGGTTAGGTATGATTCTGCTCTTGTAAATGATCAGTCTTGACTCATTTCATCCCCCTACAAAATTCATACAAGCCACCCCAGAGAATTAGTCTTTGGGATTTTAAAGTATTTTAAAACCCACCACACAGATACAAGCATGGGTTGTTGTGAATCTAGAGCATCTGAGCATCCAAATTCTCTCCTTCCAGCTCTACATTGGCAGCATTTTGTAGCAAGAGCTACACTGGAAAGAGAAGCTCACTGGAAAGAGAAGTGGTAGCAGTTCTGTTTTCCCAGAGAAAAGGCTGCTGTCCCACTGCTGGTACTGATCTGAAGGCACAAAGGCATCATTATACCACCAGTAAGACATGGAGTCTTGACATCCCGGGAGGATGACCTGGATGTCCCAGGTCTTGACATCCCAGGAGGGAGCAGGCTGTTCCTTTTAATGTTCTCAAGCCTGAGTCCTATGAGCCGTTAGTTCTGAAATGTGTCTTGCACCTCAACTTAGTTTCCAGGTGGCTTCCTAGATTACCCACACAACCCAGCCAGACTGAGACCTTGGGAGCCTCTGTAATCTGAAGCAATGAGGGCCCAGCTGATCAGGGCTGGAGACTTGCCAAATGAACTGCCTTATCTTAATCCATCTGGAATGTCAACTAGGAGTAAGAAAAAGGAAGGACAATTCCCACACAACACAAACTAGATAAGAATCTGACATTTTTCTTTGCAATGACTTGACATCCTCACTTTTTCAAAGAAAATCACCTTAATCAGTCCAGTGGCCCTTCCTGCTACCACATGGCCCAGACACTCATTCAGAAAATGACTCAGAGCATGTCCTAATTCCAACACATTTACAGAGAATTTAGCTTCCTTTAATTTCATCCATTGCCTGCAGGACTAACAATTGAAAACAGTTACTATAGTTTGAATGTTTGTCTCCTCCAAACCTCATGTTGAAATCTGATCCCCAGTGTTGGAAATAGGGCCTAATGGGAGGTGTTTGGATCATGGGGGTGGATCCCTCTTGAATAGATTAATGTCCTCTCTGGGGGAAGTGGGGTGTAAGTGGATTCTTACTCCATTAGTTCCCACAAAAGCAGGTTGTTACAAAGAGCCTGGCACCTCCTCTTCCTGTCTCTCACTTCCTCTCTCACCACCTGATCTCTGGACAAGCTGGCTCCCCCCTTCACCTTCTACCATGAGTGACCCGGTCCGAAATCTTCCAGCCATCAGAATTTTGATTTTTCTTTGTAAGTTACCCTGCCTCAGGTATTTCTCTATAGCAACACAAAATGGACTGAAACAGCAGTGTAATCCAAAACAATACTGCTCCTCTTAACCAAAAGCTGGTGCCTGACTACCTCAGTACATGGTTGCCTCCAAATTCATTTTAGCGAAGAAGTAACTCATCTCAAAATTTAACAGAAAAAAGAAAAAGCAAACTTTCAGGAAAATGGTATTCCTATTACCAGGAGTTAATTGGCTATGAAACAGCCAAAAGTCAGCAGCAGATAAAAGAAAAGTCTGCATAATTAGAACAACCAATAGGTAGACATTCAGCAACTATATACTCAATAGAAGACTTGCCAGTGCAGTGGCCATGCATGCCTGCTACTGCAGGCCCACCATTCCTGAACCAGTGGCTTACATTCCACGTGGAGTAGGAGTAAGCCTTTGGTCTCTTCCACACCCATTCACCGTCATGCAGGGCCTCCAAACCGCCAAAGGATGGGAACAGCAGGCAAGGGTATCTATCAAGCATGCTCCCTCTGTTCTACACATCAGTCATGCTATTTCCCACCCATTGATTCTTCTGTTGACCACCCACATTTAATTCAGTTTTAAAGACAGGACAACAAGGTCTGAGATTTGAGGGATGTACCTGACTCTCTCTCCCCTCCAGTGGTGGTGGAATCTGATCAGCAAAACCAATCTTCCCTGGATCACCCATAAAGGCACTAACCTCATCCACGTTCTCAAAAGCGTTGATGACATCATATGGCAAACAGGACAGAAGGTCAATCACAAACCATGTCTTCAGGTAGTTCATGCGGATAAGTTTGGGGTCAGAAATCACCTCCCCTGCTGGTCCAACAAAGGTGGTATGAAAATTGAGCACAATGTCCACCAGAAAGATAACATCCACGATGCTATCAACAACCAGCCAGGCCACATTGTTCTGCCTGGTTTTGAAGGAGACATTATAAGGGACCAAGATGGCTGTATAGAAGGTCAAGATCAAGATGATCCAATCCCACGTGGTCTTAAAAACACAGTAATGTAAGATGATGTGAGGGGGAGTCTTTGGTGCCTCTTGCTTGTACTGGGGAAGGATGTCTGAGCCCAGCTGTAGGACCTGTACAGAAAAACATGACCAAGAGAGAACTAAGTTAGGATTTAATTGCAAGTATCTAACCAGTCAGCATCTGTGATTGACAAATGGTCACAACACTCTAGATAAATCGTTTGGGTACAATAACAGGTATAAAGGAATATGGGAAAATGAAAGTGAACATTATAATAGAAATAATCATAAAGAAACAATTACAAACTACTATTTGGCTGTGAGCCAAGTGTTATACTAAACACTTTACACACATTTATTATCTCAATTCTAAATACACCTTTGTTCTATTAGCCAATTATTATTCCATAAGTTAGAAACTGGGGCTCAAAAAGATTAAGCAACTTTTTGTTCAATAAATATTAATTGCTCTGATTTCATCCAACAGTGGCAGAATGCACATTCTTCTCATCAGCACATGGAACATTCTCCAGGAAGACTATATGTGAGATGACAAAACAAGTGTTAACAAGTTTTTAAAAATCAAATTCATATCAAGAATCTTTCCTGACCACAGTGAAAGTAAACTAGAAATTGAAACATGTGGAACTTGGGAAACTTTATGAATACATGGAAGTTAAACATGCTCCTGAATGACCAGTGGGTCAATAGAGAAATTAAGAAAGAAATTTTAAAGTGTCTTGAAACAAATGAAAACATAACAAAAACCTATGGGATACAGCAAAAGCAATACTAAGAGGGAAGGTTATAGCAATAAATGCCCACATCAAAGAAGTTAAAAGATTTTAAATAAACAACCTAACAATGCACCTCAAGGAACTAGAAAAGCAAGAACAAACCAAATCCAAAATTAGAAGAAGGAAAGATATAAAATAAGAACTAAATTAAATAAAATTGAGACAAAAAATACAAAAGAGCAATGAAATGACAAGCTGGGTTTTTAAAAACCTAAGTTTAAAAAACCCAAACCTTTAACCAAGAAAAGAAACCCCCAATAAAATTCAAGATGAAAAAGGAAATATTACAAGAAACAGCAAACAAATACAAGGATCATTAGAAGCTACTATGAATAATCATATGCCGACAAATTGGAAAACCTAGAGGAAATGGATAAATTCCTGGACACATACAATCTACCAAGATTGAAACAGGAAGAAATGGAAAACTCTAACAAACCAATAACAAGAAATACAATTAATTGAATCAGTAATTTAAAAAATCTCCCAACAAATAAAAGCCCAGGACCAGATGGCTTCAATGCTGAATGTTACCAAAGTTTTAAAGAAGAATTAGTACCAGCTATTCTCAAACTATTTCTAAAAATTGAAGGAGAGGGCATTCTTCCAAACTCAATCTATGAGGCCAGCATTACCCTGATACCAAAACCAGACAAGGGCAAATCGAAAGAAGAAAACTACAAGCAAATATTCCAATGAACCTACATACAAAATCCTCAACAAAACACTACCAAACTGAATCCAACAGAACATCAAAAAAAAATGGTGTACACTATAATAAACTGGAATTTATCCAGAGATGCGAGAATGACTCAACACATGCAAATTAACAAACATGGTACATCACATCAGCAGTAGGGGAAAAAAATTATTATCTCAATAGATGCAGAAAAAGCATTTGATAAAATTCAATATCCCTTCAAGATTTAAAAAAAAAAAAAAAAAACTCTCAAAAAATTAGGTATAGAAGAAAGGTACTCAAATGCCTTACATTCGCAGCAACCTGCATGAGATTGGAGACTATGATTGTAAGTGAAGTAACCCAGAAATGGAAAACCAAACATCGTATATTCTCACTCATGAGTGGGGGCTAAGCTAGGAGGGTGCAAAGCCGTAAGAATGACACAACAGAGTTAGGGGACTCAGGAGGAAAGGGTAGGAAGGGGATGAGGGATAAAAGACTACAAATTGGGTTCAGTGTATACTGCTTGGGTGATGGGTGCACCAAAATCTCACAAATCACCACTAAAGAACTTATTCATATAACCAAACACCTACCTGTTCCTCAGTAACCTATGGAAATAAAAAAAAAATAAAAATATAAAAAGACGTTACAGGACAAACCCACAGCTAACATCATACTGAATAGGAAAAAGTTGAAAGCCTTCCCTTTAAGATCAGGAACAAGACAAGAACGCCCATTTTCACCACTGTTATTCAACATAGCACTGAAAGTCCCAGACAGAACAATTAGGCAAGAGAAAGAAATAAAAGGCATCCAAATTGAAGCAGAGGAAATCAAACTGTCCCTGTTTACAGACATAATCATATATTTAGAGAAACATAGACTACACATACACACACAAAACCTGTTAGAACTGGTAAACAAATTCACTGAAGTTGCAGGATACAAAAATCAACATACAAAAGTCAGTAGCATTTCCACACACCAACAGCAAACAATCTGAAAATGAAATCAAAGGAGAAATTCCATTATCAATAGCTACAAAAAAATTAAGTGTCTGGGAATAAATTTAACCAAAGAGAAGAAAAATCTCTACAAATAAAGCTATAAAACACTGAGACAAGAAATTGAAGAGGACACAAAAAAATAGAAAAGTATTCCATGGATTAGGAGAATATTATTACAATGTCTAATTACCCAAAGCAATCTACAGATTCAGTGCAATCCCTATTAAATTACCAATGACACTCTTCACAGAAGTAGAACAACTTAATCCTAAAATTTACATGGAATCACAGAAGACCCAGAACAGCAAAAGCTATCCTGAGCCAAAAGAACAAAACTAGAGGAATCACATTACCTGACTTCAAATTATACTACAGAGTTAAAGTAACCAAAACAACAGGGTAGTTGCATAAAAACAGACACATAGACCAATGAAACAGATAGAGAACGCAGAAGTAAATCCATGTATCTACATGAACTCATTTTCAACAAAGGTGCCGAGAACATACATTGAGAAAAGGACAGTCTCTTCAACAAATGGTGCTGGGCAAACTGGATATCCATATGCAGAAGAATGAAATTAGACCCCTATCTCTTCTCATATTCAAAAATCAAGTCACACTGGGTTAAAAATTTAAATCTAACACTTCAAACTATGGAATCACTAAAATAAAACTTTAGGGAAACTCTCCATGTTGCTGGACTGAGCAAAGATTTTTAAGGTAAACCTCAAAAGTACCGGCAACCAAGGCAAAAATAGCCAAATAGGATTATATCAAGCTGAAAAGCTTCTGCACAGCAAAGGAAACAATCAACAGAATGAAAAGACAACCTACAGAATGGGAGAAAATATCTGCAAACTATTCATCTAACAAGGGATTTCTAGAATATACAAGGAATTCAACTCAACAGCAAAAATTGAATAATGTGATTTAAAAATGAGGAAGTAATCTGAATAGCTATTTATCAAAAGAACACATACAAATAAATGGCCAACAGAGATATGAAAAAATGCTCAACATTACTAATCATCAGGAAAATCCAAATCAAAATGCAATGAAATATAATCTTATCCCAGTTAAAATGGCTATTATCAAAAAGACACATATACACACAAAAATTTTGATGGGCTGGGCGTGGTGGCTCACGCCTGTAATCCCAGCACTTTGGAAGGCCAAGGTGGGTGGATCACCTTAGGTCAGGAGTTCGAGATCAGCCTGGCCAACGTGGTAAAACCCGTCTCTACTAAAAATACAAAATTAGCCGGGCATGGTGGCATGCACCTGTAATCCCAGCTACTCAGGAGGCTGAGGCAGGAGAAACACTTGAACCCGGGAGACAGAGGCTGTAGTGGGCCAAAATCATGCCACTGCACTCCAGCCTGGGCAACAGAGCAAGACTCTATCTCTATAAAAATAAAAAATAAATACTGGTGAGGATCCAGATGAAGGGAAATTATTATATACTTTTGGTGGGGATGTAAATTAATACAGCCATTATGCAAAACATATTGAGGTTCCTTGCATAAAAACAGAACTACCATATGATGCAGCAATCCCATTGGTGGGTATATATCCAAAGGAAAGGAAAACGGTATGTCAAAGAGCTATTGGCACTCCCATATTTATTGCAGCATTATTCACAGTAGCCAAGATACGGAATCAACCTAAGTGTCCACTGACAGATGAATGGATAAACAAAATATGAATGGATATATATAACCAATAGAATATCATTTTGCCATTAAAAAAAAAATGAAATCCTGTCATTTGCAGCAACATGGATAACCCTGGAGGATATTACGTTAAATGAAATAAGCCAGGCACAGAAAGACAAATACCACATGTTCCACTCATATATGAAAGCTAAAAAAGCTGACCTAGAAGTAGAGAGTAGAATAGTGGTTACCAGAGGCTGAGAATGGTACCAGAAGAGAGTGTGATAGGGAAGGGTTGGTTAATTGATACAAAATTTCAGCTAGAGTAAAAAAGCAGATTAAGTATTTAAGGTGATGGATATCCCGACTACCCTGATTTGATTATATAAATTTATCAACCTATCACATGTACCCCCAAAATAAGTATATCTAAAGTGTATCAATAAAAGTTTTTTTAAATTAGTATTTGATAGGAGAAATAAGTGTTCTATAGCACAGTAGAGTGAATAGAATAATAATTTACTATATTTCAAAATAACTAGAAGAGAGGATCTTGAATGTTTCTAGCACAAAGAAATGAAAAATGTTTGAGGTGATGGAGACCTCAATCACCCCAATTTGATCATTACATACTGCATACATGTATCAAAATATCATGTGTACTCCATAAACATACATAATTATGTATCAATTAAAATTTTTAAATATATTTATTGCTCTGTGCCTGGAACTGTTCTAGGTACTGGACGTGCAGCAATGAAGGAAACAGCATGATGCCTGCTCTCGTGGAGCTCAGTCTAGGAGACAAATCAAAATCATTTCAAATTGTGATAACCACTAAATAACACTGGGGCAGGCAGAACACTGTGATTTGATAAAATGTGACTTGAGTAAGGGAGGGAAAGTGTTTGAATTGAAACCTAAGTGACAATAAAGAACCAGCCATTTAAGTTTGTATGGAAAAATT